CATCTACTCCAGGCATGCCACCTCAAGTGTTTGCATTGCATAGCTTATACCGCTAAAATCAAGCCACATGGTAACATCAGGGATATATGTAATCTTAGTTGATGATGTTGTAAATTTCTCCCTGATTTTGGATTTTATTCCTGCTGGGACATGTTCGGATGTGTTTAATGCCTGGTACACACTACACAACTTTCCTGTCTGTTCCAACAGTCACTTTGTCACATTACACGATCGTGGAGTCATAAAATCGTGCCGTGACTAGGCCGACAGACATGACACACTACGCGATGGTTCACACCAATCATCCCTGATAGTCTTTCACGACGTGTGTGATGTCACCGGGTTATTCTTGTCCTAATTTTATTACTTTTACTATTATTTCAGTCACTGTGTCTGTTCACGTGCCAACTGAAATGTTGATGTAGTAATGTAAAAAAAGTGCCACCAGATGGCAGGAGCTACATTTGAAGTACCGTACGCAAACATGCAGGCCACTGAATCCTCCACAACAACTTCCTGCAAATGTTTCACAATAAAAGCCTTTTTAGAAAATGAAGGGATTCTCTCAACCGAAGTTATAAGAGGCTTTTAATTTGAAAGAGATACAGGAAGTTGTTAAGTTTGACATGAGAGCAGATCACTCTGTGTTCCTCTGACAGAAGCAGTCGTGAACGACAAAAAGAAAATCAAACATGCAAGACTTTCTGTCGGGACGTCGTGAGGCGTCCCAGACGCGGCTTCAAACGTCGTTAACTATGACACCACACGAGATGAAACGATGGATTGTCGCTTACGACACTCATTGTCGTTTACGATCCATGCCGACACCGTATGTCACTGCATCGGGCTAGAATCAGGCTGATATGGTGTAGTGTGTACCAGGCATAAAAGTGTTTACTGGTGATTTTTCACAGTAAAAAGTGCCGCAATTCTTCATTACAGTCATTCCCCGGATGAAGTGACAGTGCGGAGATGCCGATACGAAATCCTGCAAATGCTGACCAATCAGAACAGACTAGGCTTTTTTGGAAGGCGTGCTAAAAGAAAAACAGAGCCTTCTCACACAGAGGGTGGATACAGGTGTTCCAGCACAGACAGTATGAGGAAAACTAAGAGTTTTTTGATCATTAAAGAATGCAAACATGTTCTAGTAGAAACCTTAAATACAAGGCAGAAGCCGAAAATGAGCACAACAGGTCCTCTTTAATAGGAGCGAACCACTGAAGTGAGTCCAAAATCGGACTCTACCTACTCCCAGTCTGTCGCGTGTGACTCTGTTTGTAGTCACCTTCACAGTTGAATGAAGCTCCCTCCATCAAGGTGTAGGGGATAAACACAGAGGCAAGCTTTGGGACAAACTTTCCTCTCTGTGGTGGAAAGAGGAACTGCCGTAACTTTTCGTAATGATGGAGAAAAATAAAGCTTAATCCAATTTAATGTTCTTCATATGCATTTGTAGCACTTGTGTGCTGCTTTTGTTGACCTAATTTTTTTGTATATTATGTTTTTATCATTTAAAGAAATGAATGAACATCTTTTGGCTTTTCGCTTTGTGAGCTGCTTGTTTTTGTAACAGTTCTTGTAAATATACAGCACTACAATCAGATGAATGCGACTGTTTTCTAGGGGCTAGAGAGGGATCTATTTTATCCTTTATACAAGGTAACCTTGAAAACGTTAACATCTGTATGACAATAGGCCTATAAATGTTTATCTTAGTTTGTGCAGTTTATGTTTGTAAGGGTACACAGAACTTTATTTGTCTGGAGCACCTTCTATGGTGAACACAATATGCACACAGGTAGTAAATCAGAGTCAGTGCAGGCTTTTGGAGGGTTTTATCATTCACATCCACTGCTCACTAGTTGATTTGGGACGGCACTCAGTCAGTACATTTACATGCATGTAGTTGTCAAGCTAAGCTCATAGCTTGGCTAATCAGTCAAGTCAGACTTCTTGTCTTGTCAGAGTATACATGCAGAAGAGAAAATCGAATTTCAGACAAAGTACATCTGACTCCGCCTCGATAGGTGGCGCTGTGTCCTTTTTAATATAATGTCTACTGAACTAGTTCTGGTTGACCCAAAGCGGAAGCTAACAATGAATAAAGATGGCGGAGCATGAATGTAGTTTCCTCGTCCGTCCAGAAATGTGTCTTCTGCTTCTTGGTCGCCATAGTGTTTGTTTGTTTTTCCGGGAGTTACTGCACTGCTGCCATGTCATCTCCTTCTTCCAGTTGAAAGCCTGTGAGAGAAAAAGCCGAGTCCGACTCCAGTCGCAATAAGTGGATACATACAGCAATAGTTCAATTTTCAATCGAATTATCTACTGTAGGTGTGTTCATCGAGCTACGGATAGTTCAATTTCAGTCGGACTAAGTTGTTTACATGCATTTAAAAGTCCGATTTCAGTTGGACTAAGCCAATAATTTGGTTTTCTCAAACTGCATGTAAAAGTACTGACTGTGGCGGACTCTCTGCAAACGCGGAAATGGAGTGAAGTGGGCAGGGAAAGGGAGTAGGGTGTGGTTTGGGCAAGGCCCTCAGAGTCTGAGCAGGGATTGTCTGCATATGGCTCTCATGTGGAGGTGGCTGATCCGGCAACTAACAGTTAATGGTGCTAACAACACGAACAGTGCTAACAACAGTAACTGTGCTGAGAGAGTTAACTGTCAGCTGGGGGAGACTGGAGAATAGAAGTTACACTTTTGCAACCATGACTTCGACGTCAATAGCTGTAACCGCCCACAACTCCTGTATTGCACAGTGCAGGGCAGCAGCAATGAGCTAAACAGTGGGATACACAACAACAGAGAAGCTGGGATCACAGCATACACAGAGGGATCATGACTTCATTCTCTGCTCAAAACGCCATTACTCCACAATATCTTTACATAGCAAACAGTTGTTCGCTGCTGTATTAATGCTCTGAATATTGTGTTCCTCCTCTTTGATGATCAGTAAAATATTTAGATACTCAGTTTGGAGAAAATATGACTGGCAAACCAATAATCTGCACTGCCCTCAGCAAGATTTAAGAATAGCTTGACCTGGGTTTAAAGTGTAGTGTGTGTGTGTGTGTGTGTGTGTGTTTTGGGGGTGGGGGGGGTTAAGAGGAGGGCAGGTTAGGCTGTGTATAAACAGGCTGTGCGCCCTGAAGCCTTGTTGTATTGCAGGAGATAGAGGGGTCACCCTCCATCTCCTCCCCTTTGCTTCATCTCTTCTCTCTTACTTCAGCTATAATACACCACCATCAGTGACCGGCCTCTGCCCTCCTGTCTGCTCTCATGTCTCTGTCTGCTCCCCTTTTGTTCAGCTATATTACAGTTCTTTCCTGTCTATCCCCAAAAACCGCTGTCTGAGTAGACTGTGTGTGTGTGTGATTGTGGGAGTGTGTGTGTTTGTGTGAGGGGTGGGATGGGGGACTCGAGGGAAGTATAACGCACACACACACACACACACACACACACACACACATACTGAGTACACACAGAGTACACATCAGCATTACAATCACACACAGCTGTTTGTATTCTGTCTTAGAAGCCAGAGAGGGATCAAGACAGAAGAGAGAGGAAGACATGCCTCACCACAGATCTGTCAAACTTCTCAAGATGATACATCACTGAGCCCTAATGAAGAATCACTACTTCTGCATTGTAATCCACTAAAGTAATTCCAATAGGGACTGGAATCCAGTAATGAGGTTACTATTTGTACATGTAAATGAAAAGTATCTATGAAAAATTCAACCAGTAAGTCACTACAAAACTTTTCAAATGTAGCACAGGTGACCCTTTAATTTGAGCCACAAGTGTGATCATGTGTCATCATGTCTCCTCCAGGTCTCTGAGGTCTTCTGATCTGAAGCTGTTGGCTGCCCCACAGCTTCAGATCAGAAGACCTCAGAGACCTGCAGGAGACATGATGACATAGGCCTACATATATTATATACATATATATATATATTGTCTGTGATGACAAATTTCCAAAAGACTCCATCATTTTATTATGGCAAATTATATAAAAAACTATAAAATATATACACAACAGTTATGACAGTTATGTCCTGAGTGACAGCCCTGTAGCTCTATGAGTAAACAGGCGTCCTTAAAAGCTGATTTAACTTGTTTTCATGTTTTTTTCACTACATGGATTCCACACCTTAAAATAACTGTTGAGCATACCCACTGCTATTATTAAAGATCAGCAAAATGCTGCATTTGCGAATAAGTCATAATAACCCATGGGTCTGTCTATTGGTAGGTCGCCACTTTGTTTTGTAGCAGTTAAAACTAATCGATCATCATCCAAACAAGAGGAAGAAAAAGTTTCTGAAAGTTTGACTTGTGTGTTGGAAAGTTTCTCTCCTGTTTGCTGAATCTGCTGTTTGAAAGAAACTCATAACTCTTCATTTATGAAGCCAGTTGCTTCTGTACTGTTTGATAATTTAAACTGAGGAAACTCATCCTATTTATAATGGTTAAAGATAACTTAACTTAATTTGCATATGCAGTGCAGTTACTCTGGATATCAAAGTTGTAGAGTGCTCATCGTGTGGTACCACTAACAAGTGCGACAGGTGTTGTTTTATGTGTCGTATTAGTGCACACTGTCTGGAGGCAAAAGAGCAACAAATATGTGTTAGATACAGCACTCCAGTCTTTGTTCAGTCCTGTGGACATCTAAGAATCAGATGGGTTTCCCCCATTTTCTGCACGTTAGATTTCACCGAGAAGCTCTGTCGCCTTCCCGAGGCCAGATGAATAAAGCATCAGGTGACCGGGACACTGCAGTGAGAATGAAAGTCCCCTTCCGAGGTCAAACTGTTGCTGTTTGACTGACGGCCAGTTGGAAACCTACGCAGTGCGTGTGTGTGTTTGTGTTTGTGTTTGTGTGTGTGTGTGTGTGTGTGTGTGAGAGAGAGAGAGAGAGAGAGAGAGAGAGAGAGAGAGAGAGGGTTGCCGGACAGACGCAGTAGCAGACGTGCCCGCTCCCGTCTCCCTCTCTCTCTCTCCTATCACACACTCTCGGGAGCAGCGCTTTGACGCACCACGCAGAGTTGGATTATAGTATTGCGCGCTGGTCTTTCACAGGGCTTTTCCCTCCCTCACATTTCTTACACCCTTGCCACTGACCGGCTATTGATATCTGATCGGAATCAATATCTCTCCACCACGGTGACCTGTGCTGAGCTTTTTGGGGAAACCGAGCGCTGCCGCTGCCTCCTCTCCGGACGCGTGTTGTGAATTAATAACCAAGACAGCCTCACCTGGAGTGTGTGCGTGTGTGTGTGAGAGAGAGTGTGTGTATATGCACTAAAGTGTGTATGAGAGTGTGTTTCTCTGGATCAGATCAAGGAGCGAGGTGTTTCACTGGCTTGGTTCCGCACATATTCCATACACAGACACACCACACACACACCGGGGGGATTTGGGCACCGCATGCCGGGGACATGTGGAAGTTTGCGCCGCTGTAGCGCAGCCAGAGAGCCGGTCCACCGCCTCGTCGACCTCCCCTCTCCCTGCCCAGGGGGACCAAATTCCCGGTTCACAGCCTTCACACATCGAAACCCCTCCAAGAATACCCAAATGTAAAATTCAGAACGAGAAATTTCAGAAACACACGTCTGAAAGGGGGAGGACAACGAAAAAGGAGGACGGCATCCCGTTGCGTGCAGAGTTTGGTGAGCTGTTTCGGGGATTTCGGGGCTTTTATTTTTTAACGCCCTTGTATTTTCTCAGTATTTTGTGGGTCTCATATTGGCCCCCCACTTGCCGCAGTGATGGTGGGAGCTCTGAGCCCCGTTGGCCCTGGCCGCTCCCCAGCGACTGCGCTGGGGCTGCTGGTGGCTGTTCTGGTATCGGTCCTGTCCGGCGGAGCGGACGGCCAGCCCTGCCCGGCCCAGTGCTCCTGTACCGGGACTACAGTGGACTGTCACGGCCAAGGGCTCCGCAGCGTGCCCAGGAACATACCCCGCAACACGGAGAGACTGTGAGTACTGTGAGTGGGGGACAGCTTTAACAGCGCAGTTTGTAACATTTCAAAAACAATTTCAACACACTTCACAGGGGAAATCACCAGAATATGATCTATTTCTGTGTCAGTGATGCTGAAGAACAAGTGTGCACTGATCTCATACTATTTAGAATTTAATAAATATGTGCTTTCCCTGAAGGGCTTTAAGAGTTTACAGCAATCTTATCACACTTTCTATTTGATAACCTAAATTATATAACCACCATTTTTTAGGATCATATAATATTTCTAATTTTGAAATTAAAAGTCTCGTTCTTATATTTGTTTTTGTCCGTCCTTTTAAAATGCATACTGATGTGTATTAAGAGGATTGTTTCCTTGGGGACCACATCTTAATAGCGCAGGGCTCTACATGTGACCAAAAAACTCCTCACACCTCAGGCTGTGTAAATGCTGCTTAATGCACATTTTCGTTTTGTCATAGAAACAGTAAAAACACTCGAGATTTCGTTGCTGGTGTTTAATGGGAGGCTTCGTTATTGCTGATCGCGGAGCTGAAGTTAGGGGCACTGCTGTGGTTGTGTTGGTGGTTTCGCACTGTTGCATTAGCACAGCCTCCGTAGACCACATCGGTTTGTCTGGAGACCAGCAAGTTAATCAAAAACGGATTTGGACAAGTGGGCTTTGAGTTAAACAGGCCCTGTTATATTAGTCAGAGACCTCTTGATGAAATTAAAATTTGTCCAGTTAAGTGCAGGGGCTCCTCTCAATTTCTCAGACGCTCAAATGACAATTGTGCATCGGCCACGGCACACCAAGTTTCAACAAAAAGCCCTTCAGCAGCTCACCTGCTTTGCCCTTGTTTTATTACCATATGATATGTCATGTACTGACAGTGCCCCTCTTTACCCATTTCTCTGTCCAGGGACCTGAATGCAAACAACCTCACCAAAATCAGCAAGGCGGATTTTGCAGGACTGAGGCATCTGCGAGTGTTGTAAGTTGTCTTTTATCTATTCTATTTTCTCTTTTCTTCTCTCTCCTCCTCTGCAGATGCAAAAGAAAAAACCCAAATACTCTCACGCACAGCTCTGACAAGCAGCACCTTGCATTTCCAACAACTTTTTCCTCCCCAAATACCACAACACAGATTTAACTGTTTCCAGTCCTGTTCAGCATCATCACCCAGCAGCCCCGGAGCTGCCGCATGCAGCACTGCGTCTGGAAGCGGCGGTTTCTTTGAGCCCGCATGTGTGTCTAAACAGAATAGCAACGGCACCTGTTAATGCTGTCGTGTTAATCTGCCAGTGGAAGTGTCAGGAGGGGCTTATTTTAACCACCGGGCAAAGAGGGAAAGAGATAGCGGTCATTAGGTGTAACCGCGGAGGGAGGAATGCAGCTGGAAGGGAGGGAGGGTGGAAGGAAAGGAAAGGAAAGGAAAGGAAAGAGTCAAGTAAGAACAGGTTTCTTACCTGGGATGTATCCAGAGTGGGACAGGGATAGCCTGCTTTTATTGTGTGTGTGTGTGTGTGTGTGTGTGTGTGTGTGTGTGTGTGTGTGTGTGTGTGCTATTCAGTTGCTAAAAGTGAATGGCAGGGAATACACATTGTTGGAATTCCTCCAGAGATTATGTTCTTAATTGGGTGTGTGTGTGTGTGTGTGTGTGTGTGTGTGTGTTTATGTGTATGTTTGCACCAGTGTTAATGCTAGCCATTTCCTGTATGTTCATGTCTACCTGCCTGCACTCACACACAACCTTGACCATTTAAATTGCAATTAAAGCTGCAACAATTGGTTGATAAATCGAAAAACAATTCAATGGCAAAAAAAATCCTGGTTCCAGCTTCTCAGATTTGAGGATGTGCTTCATTTTTGTCATGTGTGATAGTGAAAAATCTTTGGGTTATGACCTGTTGGTTGGTTAAAATCACCTGTTTGGAATGTTCACCCAAGCCAAATGGAATCTGCAGATTTTTTTTCTTTTACAGTTTTCAGCAGTGAGTCAGAATGAAAGCCTGCTGAATTCTGTGGAATGTTTTTCTGCTTGTAATGTGAATATTATTTCTTTTCTTTTTTTTCAAATCTGCTGAAAATACATACCTTGAAATTACTCAAAGTCCAAACACTCCTCCTGGGGCAAAGTCCCTCTGTTTTGTGACTCATCGACCACCCAAACCCGCCTTTTTAGGGAGTAACATGATTGTAGCTATCCCAAATATGTGGGTTCTACATGTTCTACTTTACTAGCTTATGATTATGTGAGATATGTACGTATTTTGGTGCATTACTTTTCATAGAAAAATGTACAGACAGTCCCGGAGAACAGCCTGTACTGCTACACAGACTAGTATGTTCAGAGCACTGTTATCTGCACAATAAATACCATTGGCATCAGGAGCAGTTTAGTTAGGTTTAGCTTTCAGTTTTATAAGGTTTTAGTGCCAATACTTTGTGGTTGGGGTTAGAAAAAACGTTATGGTTTGGCTTAAAATAAGTTGTGATGTGATTAAAATAACCTAACATTGACTTTTGCTTTCACACGGGACACAAACCTCGGTCTACTGGGTGAAAGTCCTGTATTTGTTGTTCACCACCCCCATTGCCTTTGTATGTGGACACTTTCTCATTCTTCATACTAATGTTACATTGGCTGACTTCCTCTGTCACCACATATCAATAAACTTGGCTGTTCAATGTGCTCATAACAGCATTGTGAACGCACTAGTGGGTTTAGCAGGACCCTTCTAAACCATATCAATGATGCTGATAACCACTAATAATGCCTATTTAATCAAGTGTTAACATTTGAACCAGGCGGTTAAAATAAGCACCTCAGAGACGTCACTTTGGGCATTGTGAGGGGTGTTTTTCAGTGTTGTTCGGTAATGGAAATAATTGTTAGCTGCAGCCCTAACTCCTAGTTTATTATGAGTGTACACCGTACAGCCTATAAAAAATGTGTGTGTGTTTGTGTGTGTCTTCTTGGCTTGGTCAGCACAGTGCTCTTTGGGGAGTTGTGCTAGTGTAAGTGAATGAGTAGTCACAGCTATGTGGTTAGATAGAGAGTAAATTGGATGATAGATGAGTCGCTGTCCAACTGATGGGCCAGTTTTAAAGTCAATTCTGGGGCTCCATCGACCCGCAGCTGATTGTCTTCTCTCTCTCTCGCTCTCTCTTGCTGTTTCAACATTCGATCACTTTCTATCTCCACCAATCTGTTTTTCGTGTTTTTATTCACACCCACTGCCACCTATCTTCTCCATCTCTCCCCCATCTCCTCTCCAATGTCAATCTCTTTGCCTCTCTCGTGTCCTATCTCGCTCTCCTTCACCTTCTCTTCCTTTTTACTCTCTCTTATCTGTGGCCCCATCCAGCCATCTTTCTCCTTTTCTTTGGCCTCTCACAGTGTCATCACACAAATCACTCTGTCGGCTCTATGTGTCTCTCTCTATCACTCTCTTTTTTTCTGTCCAATGCTTATTGTCTCACTCTCTCCTGGTGTCTCTCTCTCAGGCAGTTAATGGAGAACAAAATCACAACGATCGAGAGAGGAGCCTTCCAGGACCTGAAAGAGCTGGAGAGACTGTGAGTTACATTTTTGAATTGAAGCAGCCGCCATTTTATCCCTTACTTATTACTTATTCTCTGTACATATTTATGGATGCTGATTCTTGAACTTCTAAGTAGACATGTTCATTATCATATATGTGGACATAAACACATGCAGACAGGTGACAAATGAGAGGACAAACCAACACAAACTTTTATACTGAAATGCTGGTCTGCCACGAGCCACCAGAACAACTTCAGTGCACCTTGGCGTAGATTCTACAAATTTGTGGAGTTCTTTTGGAGGAATGATCATTGTTCCCTCATTTTATCTTTTGAATATGGTAGTGGCATTATATGCCACTACCATGTGTGAGATGGGGTTAACAAAATCTTTGTGACAATCTTTCTCTTATGGTTCTATATCCATTTTGAGGAAAGTGAGATTGTGCTTTGAATTACGGGCTGACAAGGGCAACATTTCCGTTGGGAGAAACATACTGCATCTTCATAAATGATGCAAATTTAAAAATTGAAATGTGCTGCAAATGAAAAAACATGCTGCAGAAAGCCAAACCAAATACATTAACAGCAAACATGCTGCAAAGCCAATCTACACAGAGGAAGTTCTCCAGGCCTCGTAAAGGAGCACCAAGTGTGCTAGGTTGCTACATAAATTTATTGCTCTTACTGTAAAAGACTAAGACCTAATTTAAGGAAGATTATGTGCCCTTAATGTCACATCTTTACTCCACTTTTCTTCCCAGTTAAAAAACAAACACTGTTCTACTTAGTGCTCCCCCTAGAGGCCTGGAGAACTTCTGTTGTGTTGACTTGAAATGCAGTGTTTTCTGTTGCATTTGCATTTGGGTTTGTGTGTTTTTGACCTTGCATTGTTTCTGTAATTGCAACGTGTTTGTTGTTAATACATTGTTTTGACTTTTCACATTTCGTTTTTTTAATTCCCAGCATTTCTAAATAGGCATCATTTCTGAAACTGTTTCCAGTTCTCCTGATGGACATGTTTTGGGCTGTTGTAGTGCATTTGCCCTGTAATGAATGGTGCTAGCACTGTTTTGAGAAAAAAAAAGTTTATAAAAAAATGGAGCTTACAGTGTCACAGCAGCCAGGGTATTGTGAATTAATTATCTCTGCCAGTCTAGGCCTTCAGATGTGTTTGGTCATGTGTGTGAGTGTTAGTATCTGTCTTTCTGCAGCCAAACTCGCAAACTACTGGACCAATCAGCCTAATATTTTGTGTGCATATTTATTTGTGTACACCCAACGACTTCTCAAAGGTTGAAAAACCTGTTTTATTGATTGTTTTGTAGTGCCACTAACTGCTGACTCTTTACTCCTCTTTTTGTTGCTTTTTTTCATTGGTTGGTTTGTAGACGTTGGTCGTAACAGTAGGCCCATTGTATGAATTTGGTCCCGAATTTTTGACACTACCAGAATTTTGACGCAGGATGTCTTAAAAGCTGTAATTCAGGGGACCTGTCTGACATTGCAGTCTAGGAACACTGTCTTGGATTTAAGACCATAAACTTAATCAGTTTTTTTTCACTCACATTTCTTTGTTTGGGACAGCTGGAAATTGCACAGAAAACTCAACCTAAATACATCAGTCTCTTAAAGATCTAAATCATTTTTATATGCATCAAATTATTCAGAGGCCCCTCCCATCTGTTTGTCTTTATAAATGTTTAACCTGACCGTCATGATGTGCGGCTTCCAACGTCTTAGTCCAAGAGGAAGAATTTTGAAACTGAGTCATGGGGCAATAACTAAGTGAACAGCCAAAGGTTGTTATGGCGTTGGCCTGGAATCACTGGTATTCAGCATCCAACCCTAAGGCAGTTATGGCATAATTAAGTCTTGGTTGTGTGTGAGGGAGCAAGACAGAAGGGGGGTGCAGACCTCTGACTGCTGATATGCCCATTGTGTCGACTGTCAACTTTGCTTGATGTGCGGAGCTGTCTGTATGTGAGTGTGTTTGTGTGTTGTGTGGCCTGACTGCCAGCCAATGACACACTGGAATGCAGCAGACTCTGACAGAGTCTGAGGAGGCTTAGAGACAAGCTTTTAATTAAAGACACATAAAAATCCTTGCTGCTTACACACAAGTTTACAAAAACACAGACATACCTGTACACACACAGAGATATCCACCTGCACACACACACAGGCGCACATACAGCACTAAAATCAAATGAAGGCAGTTCACCTTTATGATAGCTGTTTTGGGTAAATTCTTCAGGAGCGGTTAGGATGAAAAGGATGAAGTATCATGATTCCCCAGCTGCTCTCATCTCGGGTGTGTCGTGCCTGGTTTTTCTCTCCTCTCTGTTGCACTGTGGCTGCTCTTTGTTGACAGAGAGAGAAGCGCTCTGTGGACCACTATAAGGAATCCGCTAGCGTTTCTCATGCAACCAATGCTTGGTTCTGTCCAGCTAAGCAGATCTGGGAATTCCTGCCCAGAGCTGCAGACAAAGAGGGCAATATTTAACTGCGTATGGTCCGGCTTTAACAGTAAACTTTGATAGTGATTACCCTCTACGCAAAGAGATGGTGGTGCTGGTAAATACAGTCTTTCATTCTACATATGAGCAAAACAGGAACTTGCACATACAATGTAGAGTAGTCCTTAAACAGCAATAGCAGTGAAAGTCTTACAAGTCTTTGTGTGCCTCGGCAACAAACACTTTTGACTGCGGCTAACTTTCTGACACAACATGGCTGTTTTCTGTTGTCCTCGTGAGGGTTTTCAACTGTAATTCAGCGTCTATGGCGTGGCATGTTCACAAACACAAAGGTGGAGTCAGTCATCAATGCCCCCCCGCAGTTGCCGGACAATGGCACATCTCCGGAGTCTGGAGTCTGGGGGCTCATTTCAAAGGCCTCCGTCCTCTGGGGGGCCCAAGGGGGGCTTGCTGGGCACCGCTGCCCAGAGGAGAGGGCCCTAAGCTGGGCTGACGGATCCACAGTGACTGCCCCCCACAGGGGTGGAAAACGGTTCCCCTTCTCATCCTTTTCTTGCGACAGGCCCTGCAGGGCTGGGCAGGGTGGGGTCAGGTGTGGGGCAGTAGCTGGGGGGTATGGAGGAGGGGTAGGTGGTCGAAGGAGGTGTGGAGGAGATAGGCATGTCACAACACACACATGCACGGACACATACACATGCTTGGGTATGGATACTCTCATGCATGCGCATTAACTTACGCAAGGCTGCTCCGTCAGTACTGGTTTTATCTTGATTTTGCCCCCCCCCCCCCCCCCCCCCCCCCCCCCCCCCCCCCCCCCCCCCCCCCCCCCCCCCCCCCCCCCCCCCCCCCCCCCCCCCCCAATCCTTACACCCACTCACGCCTTCATTCATTCTTAAACTCTCCTCATGTTTTTCTAACATACCCACCCATCTCGTTCTCTCTCTATTGTCCTGTGCTTATAGGAATGTCATACATTCTTCACCATCTCCCTGTAGATTATAAAGAATAGGAAAGAGAGCAGTTCCTGATCCTCTTATCCTCCTCTCACATTTGACTGGTTTACAGCCTCTATCCTATTCAAAGTCTGTGAGATTGAAGGCGATAGAAGCCACAGATATGCAGAGAGAAAGGAAACAATAATTACAGGTATTGAGACAATGATAAGAGAGAGCAGCGGTGAGATAAAGCCTCAGATAATTAGTCTGTAATTGAGTGACATCGTCAAAGATAATTTTAACAGCGATGAATAATTGTAAAACAGATTACAGGTAGTGAGACGCATCTATCAACAGTGATCACAAACCTCAAACTAAGGGATCATGTTGTAATGTGTGGACAGTGTGACTTGTAAAAGATAACAGTGAGGGTATGATTTTCAAAGAAAAGCACTGGATTAGTGCTAAATGATTAGCTCTAAAGCCTGCGAGTGATGACACTGTTCTCTCAGATCATTTCAGGGCAAAGTTTCAAATGTTTGTTTGTTTGTTTTTTCTTTATTTCTATCGAGCGATAGAGCTTGAAATTATCTGCACACAGAAAGCCATTTTCACTACAACAGATCTGCCTTAAACAGTAATTCATGTTTTATTTTTTTGAGTCCCTGCCTGTCTATACAGCAGCCAATTTTTGTTACATTTGTCGGTAAACACCAGTTAGCAGTGAAAATGCTTAAATTCAGGAAAAAGCTCTTCAGTACTGCTGAATGTGAATAATTTTTGGATTTCTGCTTTGTTTTATGGCAGATATGGTACCTGTCGTTAGTGTTTCGATTACAGATCAGATAAGAGTGTGTAAACATGATGGTTCAGTTCACTAGCTGTGAACCAAATACATGAACTGTTGGAGTAGATATACAAACATTCACACACACTCAGACTCACACTGGTCATTTTGAAGTGGTTTTGGAATAAAGGCAGTTTCTCTTGGTCATGGAAATGTCCACAAGGTTTGGGATATAACTATGGTAACAGTACTGTGTGTGTGTGTGTGTGTGTGTGTGTGTGTGGGTATGTGGGTGGGTGTGTGTGTGTGTGTGTGTGTGTGTATGTGTGACAGATTGTTAGCGTAAAGTGTGTATTATGGCAGCAGGGGCATCAGTGGAGTAATAATTGGTTTCTGAGGTGGTTTGTTATTTCCTTCCCAGCCAGAGCCTGCAAACCTGTGGTACTACGCATCCACAAGGCTGTGAGGTGTTAGGAGTGTGTGTGTGTGTGTGTGTTTCTGTATTTTATGTTTGTGTGGGTATGCATGCACGTTTGTGGTAATGTGTGTACGTGTGTGTTTACTGGGTGGTTTGTTGCCCTCTAGCATCTGTTTATGATTGCAGGGATTATCACCACGCTGCAGTGTGACATTAGCTTGTTGGAGTGACTCTCACACCTCAGACGACTGGTGGCTCAGTCTTCATTCACTTTCAGCCAGACTTTGACTAATGAATCATCACTGTGGAAGTACTCTGAGGGTGTTAATGTGCACACAGGCACACACTGATGCATTCGTTCAGGTCCAGAAACAAACCACTAAATCACTACTGAGACTGGGTTATTGCAGTCGGAGGCGGTTAGTACTTTTAGGTGGATACTAGAGATATTCAGCACATGTATGAACAAATCTTCAAGCACTGAATCTTAAATCTGAACTGACTACACTGAATTACCATCATTTACATGGGTTGTAGGTACCTGACCTTCCCCTTAACTAGGGCTGCACAGGTAGCATGACCCATCCATCAACCTATCTCCTTACGCAAACCCCTTTTCTTTACTCTCATTAGTGCATTGGTCACAGGATTGCAGCCTTCCAATTGTACAAACTACTGGCTCATGATTACATGGGAAGTGTACGAATTGTGGTGCTTTACTTGTAGGTATATGTAAGAGCAGTGCATGAAAACAGCCTGCCATAATTTGAATCTTTGACTTTTAGGGGGCAGCCCTAGCCGTAACCTTTACACAAGAAATGAGTAAACAAATGGTTGCTATGGTAATAAAGGCTTTGCAAACCAAGTCTGTACTTTTCAGTTGAAATTGTTGCACATTTAAAAACTTAATACAACCTTACATTGCGTCAGTTACATTTACACACCGACTTCAAAACTTTTGTCCTTCATTAAAGTTTACAAAGCGGGTTTTTTTGCATCCGTCAAAAGCCTTTAGAGAGTTTTTGACCAAGAAGCAGTGGAGAAAATGTGGCGTAACCTGCAGGACACATACATCTGCAACAAGAAAGAGGAACAGGGTCATAGTGGACAGGGGGCCAGCAAGAAAATTAAGTGGAAATGCATAGTATAGAGGTCCCTCTAGAAATCTTTCATGACAAAGAGAAGGTAATGTTAGCCTATCCAGAAATGCTCAATAGCAATGATGATGCTCACAGCAGAGTGCAATTCAATAGCCGCACAGAATCATAACTCAGGTAGTCGTGGTGCCAAAAGCAAGATGCAGGCAGAGAGTGTCGACAGCCAGAGAAGTCACTCCAGTGGGAAGAAACAAGGGAACAAAAGTGCCTTTTGATTTTGTCTCACATTACAAATTTTTGCTACAAATAGTACAATAAATTGCCTTGGACTCAATGTGCATGCTATCTGTGCCTAACAATTTTACCAAATGACAGATTTAAAAATATACAAACAAAAAATCCGGACTTGGTGTGCAAAGGCCTTAACTTGAGATACTCAGTGTGGACTTCAGAATGTATGGTAGTTAGAGTCAAAACAGTTTGCTTATAGACAGAAAATTAATCTGCGAAAATAAAGATATTTGATTATTTGTTTACTTTGTAACTTATCAAAAAAAAAAAAAAAAAAATATATATATACCTTTCAGTATTACTTTTGAAAATCATTGTAAATGAAATGTCTCTAGTTTTAGACTGTTTGACAGACATATCAGGTCATTTGAAGATGTCACCTTGGGCTCTGGGAAATTGTGATCTAGTCTATAGTTTCTTGAGTCTAGCAGCTGAAGGAGTGACTTTGTTAGACTTGGAGTGTCTTGAGCTGCTTCATTTGCAGAGGTCATTTGCATTGTGAATACTGTTTCATTATCCCTTAGAGAAAATGAAATAACTCGTTTGCATCTGGTTTACTCCTTGTCCTTTGTGATGCACATACAAAATTATAGCACAAAAAGAAATGCAGAGAACATGACAAGGCTAATTAATAAAAACCAACCATTAATTCAGCTTTCTCATGTCACTTTAATGACCCTTAAATTAGCAAGATACGGTGGTTAAGGTGCCTAATTGTTGAAATAATGAGATAGATGAGCAAAATAATTAAGAGCATTTAAATGCACAGTACTTTAGAGGACTGATTCACTGTCTTTACATCATTCTCTCAGTCTCCTAGTCTGACAGCATTGCATCTATTTTAAGAGAGTGAGCTCATACCCCTCTCTGTCCTCCTCCCTCCTCCTCCTCCTCCAGCACCGGTCCGTGCACTCACCCAGGGGAGGTCCAGCCCACTAACGGGTGCTCATGGCTGGGCAGCACCTGCAGGAGGAATGGGCCTCTCCGCGGGACCACGTGGGGCTCTTAGCCGCCTGAGCCGGCGTTAACGGAAGAGGAGTGAATAATTTAGAAACATCATTTCTGCGGGATATAAATTTTTAAGCAGCCTCTGATGTAACCGTGGAGTGTGAACGTGTGTGCGCGGGCACATTCATATATTTGTGCACTTGTGGGTGGAAGATGGACACAGAGGGGGTGACGTTATTTAAGGAGAGTCCACAGCGGCACATAGCAAAGCAGAGAGAGGTGAAAGATGAGGGTTCAGTCATTGAAAGACTTAGGCTTTTGGAGTTTTGAATGGAGTTGGTGACATTTTTGGAGTGTTTTATTTGAGTAGCATCTGCAGCGTTTCCTTCATTTATGTGTTTATGTGTGTGAATCCTGCAGACTCTGTACTTTTGGTCACATTTTTTATTAGTTTGAAGTCACTCTTTCTTCATTCTGCCTCATTTCCTTCTTCCCTCTCCTCATTCTCCTCCAGTAGCAGCCAGCACAGCATCCGTCTCTGGGCCTGTCAGTGTGTGTGTGTGTGTGTGTGTGTGTGTGTGTGTGTGTGTGTGTGTGTGTGTGTGTGTGTGTGTGTGTGTGTGTGTGTGTGTGTGTGTGTATGTGTGTGTGTGTGTCAGGGTTAAACTGTTTCAGCAGCCTGTCTCTCATTGTGTCACTCAGTTGCTTCACTCCGCTCTGACTCACATCAAGGCACAACCACACACAGCAACACACACAGGCACACAAACCTCTTCACTCCACTCAACCAGGGTTAAATGATCGCACCCAGATTATTAAACTCACCCGAGTTCTCTCAACTCTTCTGTTTGTGTGTGTGTGTGTGTGTGTGTGTGTGTGTGTGTATGTGTGTGTGTGTGTGTGTGTGTGTGTGTGTGTGTGTGATGACGGGTTGTTGTGAGTTCTTCCCCTGTGAGGGCCTTGTTTACTCAGTGGGGTCCTTTTCACACATTCGGTAGCCCGGCCAGACTGCCTGTTTGTTTTTCCCACATCATCTCCTCTCCTCCGCCTTTGTGGTAAAAAAAAAAAAAAAAAAGTCCCCCCCTCCTCCCCTTCATCTGAACCCCTTCTCTCGTCTTCCTCCCCCCTGCCTTCCTTTCGTCCTTCTCCACTTCACTGTTTGTCTGGCAGCCATGTTGTACCCCTTAAATCAGGGGTAACCCGGAGTCTGTTTTTGTGCGTATCCATGAACATGTGTGTGTTTTTAATGTCTCCATCAATCTCCTTAATCTTTCATGCTTCCTCTATAACTGCACTGAATTGCATTACAATCAAAATACATACAACATAATTTGATATGGAGATCAGGAAACACAAATCTCACCTTAAAAAGCTAATCATACACACATGTAACCGCTTCACCCGCACTGTCTGGAAGGGGCGACGTAGAGTTTATTCCCTAATTTATGCTGTGTTTTTCCAGGCGCCTGAATCGGAATAATCTGGCTGTGTTCCCCGAGCTGCTTTTCCTGGGAACGACAAAGCTGTACAGACTGTAAGTCCTGTTTTTATTTCTCTATCCATCACTCATTCGCTCTGCAATGTTAACTGAAATATTGTTCATTTCCTCGTGTGTTTCGAGAGCACAGTCGGCCTGTGATGGTTCAGATGAATTGTTGCAGTGGTGTGTTTGTGTGTCACCACAAGCTTGTACAGGTCATTGACGGTGACTTAGAATGACATGGTGAAATATGTTACAGACATTGAAAAACATATCTGGTTTTCTCGGTGACGCAACCGTGGTGTTTCACTTGGATGAAGGAGTGAGAGAGTGAGTGAGGGAACAGATTTTACATGGCCCTCACCATAGAAGCCAGTTCAGTAGCTAATGGAGATTAGCACTCCAACAGCTGCTGCCCGCTGGGAGAGATGTGTGTGTGCGTGTGTGTGAGGATGGAGAGGGGAAAGTGAAAAGACAGATCAAGAGAGATGTAAGCAGTGAAACATGGAAACAGGTTTCTCTTCTGATGTTACACTGTGTGTTTCACATGGCAGAGCAAAGTTTCAGTTACAGATCATAAATGTTCAAGTTTGCATTCAAACCAGCGAACTGCTGTTTGTTGTCGTCAAGCACCTTCCACTCTTCACTCACAGCCAGCGCGCCTGTACTGTAAACCGAGCTGTGGATTTCCAGCACTGCAGGGCTGGGCTGCGACACTGCTGAAACTGTGGGAACTAACTTCCCGTCATGGTCGTTTGTGGTCCTGGGGAATAATTATGGTCACATGTATTTATATGTGTGGCTGAATATATTTATCTAAAACAATATTGAAATGCTCAGATGATTCAGAGAGTGTGTGAAAGTTGTTTATGTTCTGCGGCCGCTACGGTGGTTGGCTGGGCTTGACCTGTCGTGTCTAAGGGTGTGTGTCTGCATGTGCGTCTGTGTTTCTGCGAGCGTCTGTGTGTGTGAGTGTGCGTATGAGTTTCTCAAGGCCAAGAGTTGGCATATTGCGCAGCGTGTGGGCCGAGGTAAAAATACAACTCGGATATACTGCTCTCTGCTCAGCTGTCGCAGACAAGCGGCCTCTCTCTCTCCCTCTCTCTCTCTCTCTCTATCTGTGTGTGCGCATTCGTGTGTTAATGCTAATGTGTGGGCATGTTGATTGTGTGTGTATATGTGTATGTAAACCTCAGCTCTCCAGGTGTATGTGTTTAGCAGAGTGTCCCTTGTTGGCTGTACATGTTCACTGAACACACACACACTTCATTCAGCTTCATTTATATTGTGTTATTATTCTTTTTTTTTTTTAGTAAAATAAACTACCATGTCAAATCCACAGTCGTCAGTGAAGTAAAGAAAACTGAAAATCAACAGAAAGTTACTAACTGACAATGAAAAACAGAATTGCCAGAGCTGGCGCCGTTGCAGCCACAAAGCAGATTTGTCAGACGTATGGAAGTCATTCAGAATGAACGACAACCACTGAGGCTTAGCCAATAGTATTTAGGGCTGTTTGGTCAATATTAAATCTCATGTCTACTCCTACACCCCCTACAGTGAATTTTTATTTCCAGAAAACACAACAAGAAGCCTTTGAGAGCCTCTGAAGTGGAATCTTGTTAAATTTTATGTAGAGGTCATAAGGTATGTGCGAACTGGACTGACTTTGGTTGTTGCGACAGTACTGCTATAAATGAACACTTGCTCAACCTGCTATTATGAAAATTATGTTTTCACTTTTTTGGGCCTTGGAAAATCTATGTGTGTGTGTGTGTGTGTGTGTGTGTGTGTGTGTTTGAGTACTTGCTGGATGTGTTTAACCTTTGCTCAGCACTGTGGTTTAAGGCTTTGGGGGCTAAATTAAACTGAGGTCAGGTGTGATGCATTTTAGAGGAAACATTATTTCTGCCTGAATTATGTTTACCTGCAACATTTGTTTTCAGTTTGTATCCTGCATGACGTGTGTTGTTGGTCTAGACAACTAAAAGACTTTTAGATTATGGAATAATTATTATCTTGGTTACTGAAACTTAACACATGTAATCTCACACTTGAAGTCAGTGTTGATTTTTTCAATATTAACCACAACCACAATAAGTGTAGTGTAGATTAGTTTATCTGATGTGATGACAATAAGTGTTTTACAGAACTATTTTGCACGACAAAGAGTGTTATGTTTAAGGTCAGGCTGTTCTCATTCATGGTCCGCACTTATACCTACAAAAAGTAATGCTCTATAATTTGTATAGATACCATGTAATCGTAAACTAGAAGGTTGACATCATCATGACCTATGCGTTGCAGGCATAGAAGTTGCAGGCTGTTGGGAGTGTAGGGGGAAGTCAGGTGATGTAATATAAAGAGTATCAAAGTCCATGTATAGAGGCGGCCATAGTAGTGGTCCACTACTATGGCCGAACAAACACAGGACTTTGACCCATGAGACTACTGTTGGTGCCCTGCATGAAACCAATAACTGTACCTAAAAATGGGCAACACGTCTACATTTCCTCCCAATGTACAAAACTGAAGCCACGATATCCTAAATATGGCCACGGCCATCTCATGCTGATGACGTCATTTGTAGCCAGAGTTTGCGTAGTAGTGATCTCCGTGGTATCCAGTCTCTGCCGTTCAACCAATCATGAGCAGTGCCATTGACCATGGGCACTGGAGCTGTCAATCATGACATCCAACCCCCTTTTTATAGCATCAAACAGAAACTGTCTTTTGGAAAAATGTATTTGATGTGAATGGCATGGCCACCCTTATACAATCGCTGGGCCCCCTACTGGTCTCCCTGACAAAAATAATTGAAGGCAAACATTATTCTCTTTAAGAGGCTGTGGCACACTCATGTTTTAAGGAAGGTACTTTGTTAAAGGAGACAACCTAAGGCATCCATTTGTACCATGTTGGCATAGCTTGATGGGGAAGGCAATAAATAACACTCCAAAGTATGCTAAATTTTGCAAGGGTACAATTAGCATGGCCATTTTCAAAAGGGTTCCTTGAACTCTCATCTTAAAATATCTGAATGAAAATGGATTTTATGGGTACCTGTGAGTTTCCCCTAAATTTGAGAAGGCTTGTTCCCCGTAAATGTTTTGTTCCTTACACTCAACATGCTCTTTCAAATTAAAAATGTGTATTTGCCTTTAAGGAAAAGGTCAACCAGCCTATTTGAAGAACAATAGATTGCCTGACACATGTATAAATACATGACACATTAAAACAGGATTGTTTTAATGTGTTAAAACCATAACTAAAAATATTAACTGTACAGGTATTAGTCTATGCACATCAGATAATTAGTAACATTAACTGTAACTGCTTCATCAACTAGTTTTCAACTAGCCTATATACTACAGCAGCATAATACCTGAAATTCCTGAAATTCAGTCATGGCTTTTGATTTTGGTGTGCCACACTAAGATTTTCAGTGGCCCCATCAATGAGTATGAGAGTATGAAATATAGGCACTATATACTGTCCTCAAAAAATCTTATGATGAAATGATGACTGTTCATGACATGTAAACTACTTTTTTCTAACCTCCCAACATGCAGTGTATTGCATTTCATAGATACAGAAATCAATGCTGTGTGACTGCACCTGTCAGAGATGACTCATAAGTGTCTGATATCTTAATTTACTGCACGCTACAGAGTTAATTATTTGTTGTCTTTAAATAGGTAGCAGTGAATGAGTGAACAAGGGAGTGATTTTAGACACAGCTTATTTCCTCTATGATCCTTGATTTAAAGATAGCAACGATACCGGAGTCCAGGTGACAAACCATTACGATAAAAACCTGGGCTCAGTTCCCAGTTTATTAGGTACACCTAGCGTCAACTGATGCAACCTAATGCAACAGTCCTGCAGTAAATCCTCCCTTCATGAAGGTTACAATGTTCAGATCTTGTTCTGTTTCTTCTTTTCCTTGTTGCCAGTGGTGATCATGAATATTAAAACGGTGTCAAGTAAAAAACAGTTAACTAGGATAAACACATATCAACAAAACAATTATACAAAATTGAATTACCAAGTAAAATCAATTTCTTTCATGGGATGCAAAGATGCCAGGACCAGTGCAAAGTAAGTGCAACACAATCAGTGGTTCCAGATGATCTATTCAATTCTTGCTGCTCTGTTACGATGCTCCCTTTAGATGAAATTATTCAATACAACATGATTGTTATTTTCCATCGCTATGCAGATGACACAATGCTGACGCTATGCAGTGAACAAATATATTTGTGTGACATTTCCTCTACTCTCTTCTCCCTCTTGCCTGCCAGCTCTTTCTCTCTCTCTCTCTCTCTCTCTCTTCCCTCTTTGCTGGACAGAAATCAGTAGTGAGATGAAAGAGGGAGAGATGAAAGAGAGGTTGATGAAGGGATGGGGTGATGGGAGGATAAGAGAATGGGTCACTGCCTCCACAGCTGAAAAGTCTGGTTATGCTTGAGTATGAGGCCAGATTGATGGGACAGGGTTTGTGTGTATTTATATGTGTGTGTGTTGTTTTTCTGGTTGGCAAATGTCCCTCAGCAACAGCTTTCCAGGTTACTTTATCAATGTTTGTCCACTGGTGTTTGTGTGTTTTCCTTCAACTTTGGCTTTCCTGTGTTAATTTGCCTAAGCGTCGACAAATTGAGAGACATAGAGCGATAGAGGAAAACAAAGAGAGGAAAAAACTGAAGGGAAGTTAGTTGTGCCTCAGTCCTTCATCATCCTTCCACTGAGAAGGAGAGTCAACATGGACGAGTTGATTGAGAGGAGGAAAATGAGTGAACTTCAGGTCTCACACACATTAAACCTGAGTTTAAGTGGTCTGGGGGTTTGAATTAATGAGCTGATGAGGCTACGTTTTTGGGTGTGTGTTTATGTGTGTGTGTAATAGTCCCTAATCCTCTGCTAAACGGTGCCCTGATGAGGCTTTACCAGGCAGCATTGTTGCTTAGCAGCCTCAAAGGTTGTGGCTTTGTCTTCTGTGAGAGCTTAACCCTGCTGAACACACACACACACACACACACACACACACACACACA